TCACAACTGATGGACTGGAAGACATCTTCCTCCGGCAACTGGTAAAACCTGAATCGGCTCTACTCAACCAGGTTGCAAAACGAATTACAAAGACTGGAAGAAGGGAAGGAGAATAGAGGCACAGTCCTCGCCATTAGCCACGATCAATTTTGTTGACTTCTCCGGCGGGTGAGACTCATATACAGTGTTTGTACAATATCTGGATAAAATTCGGGTTTTCCGGATTTTATAGTTTTTCGGGTTTTGTATGCGCATAGTACAATTATGTACAAATACGTGACTGGCAAAAAATTGAATTTCTAGTGTGAGAAAGGCCCTAACACAGATCTATACAAATATATTATTTGGACTTTGTAAAATACTTTGCGGATTTCGTACTATGTGAATTTTGGACAGTATTTTCTGATTTGATAATACACGTTGTGCAGAATATTTTGTGCACTAAAAAAGTAACTTGTGCCTCAGAACTGGCATAGTTAATTTTTATAGATTTATAAAAGATTTATATGAAATAAAAAAGTTAGTTCATATAGGCGGTGGATTTCGACGCTGCGTTTTATCCCAGTCCAGAAACGAATCTATTTTAAAATCGTAATAGCAATCCAAGCCTCACTCTAGGGACTTAAATTTGAGTGGACAGAGGTTCAGTTGGATCAATTGCTTTGCACTTAGCAGCGAGTTAAAGCTTTGAAATTTTACAGTTTCTGGCCATTTTCATGTGAGCTGCAAGACAGCATTGATTAGAATCTAATGGTGTACCTTTGGACTGGATTTAACTCTACACCTGCTGCTTTGGCATTTACTTCAGAATTCTTTGAGAAGCCGCCTTTACCGAATTTATGCAAAAATATGCTGGTTGTACCTGGCTCAAAATATTTCTCGAACTGCCATAACGGAAGACTGTTGCAGCAGTGTTGGAAAGATTGGCATCTGATAATTTGCATACTGATACAAGTCTCACCGTTTGTAGTCGGAGCATGTTTGTACTTAAACAACAGTGCTACCATATCGTTTGTCTTCATCAACACCAATCTCATGCTTATTTCGCAGCCACTTGCCATCACACAAGTTGGTAATATCGAGACCTTTGCATACTTTTTTTATGAATTAATTTTATGCAGTTTATGGTTCTTAGTGATGTGATGGAATGATGGCATCTACAGCTTGAAGTTAGCCATAAAAAAAGCAGGACTTAATAGCGGGCAAATTTAGCCGATAGTGAAGTAACCATCAATTTTCTGGCTTACTTCTCAACTAATTAACAATTAATTTAACTCCAAACAAATTGCTTCCCAATCAATTTTGTTCGAAGAAGTGACCTACAGTAAATAAAACAGTGTTTTTACTAAAATGATTTCCATTCCTTTGCCTCCTTATTTGACAATATTTACCGGAAACGAAAGCGTTAAATAGTCATTCGGTCAAGGGAAATACCCTTGGTGACTTTTTAAAAACCCCTTTTTAAAATTCTTTTTCCAGAATTTACACACAGGCAAGCAGTGTTAATGTTGCAGAAGGCTTCGGCGTATCACGTTACTCTGTCTGTGACTGTAGCCAGTTTATCACTTGCTGCATATTTGTACATTTTGACAACACAACGACTGCAGCGAAGCAGGCGCAGTTTGAATGTAAGATGATACATTTATGTAAATTTAGTTGAAAATATTGGAGAAATTCGCATCAGAATTACCGAGATTTATTGGTTGTAACAAACAGCCTAAGGCAACCAACCAAC